TATGCTGGTGCAGACCAATGAAAGATGCTGCCTGTGAGTGGCCTTCAGCAACTGGTTTGGAGCTACAAGTGGTGCATGGTTTGCAGCTGCCTCTGCTGGACCTGGGTGTGTGCAGAAAGGGCCAAGCCGGTCACCAAGGCATGCTTTTACCAGCACCAGGCCTGAGGACACATTCACCTGCTGGCTGGTTGTTAGGTTCAGTTACCCTTCCATGTGGATTCTGATACTGCGTACAAGCTTGAAAGCTTGTCAGTGAATTTCTTGATATGACACCAAAGCACATGCAACAAAAGAAAAACTAAAGAAATGAAGTACATCAAACTAAAAAGCCTGTGCACAGCAAAAGAAACAGTCAACAAAATGAAAAGGCAACCTGTGAATGGGAGAAAATATTTGCAAATCATATATCAGATAAGGAATCAATATACAAAATATATATAGAACTCATGTAGTTGAGCAAAAAAAAAAATCTGATTATAAAATAAGCAGACGAACTGAACAGATATTTCTATTCAGATGGCCAACAGGTACATAAAAAGGTGTTCAATGATACTAATCATCAGGGAAATACAAATCAAAACCGCAAGGAAGTGTCATCTCACACATGTTAAAATGGCTATCACCAAAATGCCAAGAGATAACAAGTGGTGGTGAAGATGTGAAGAAAAGGGAACTTTTATGCATTGTTGATAGAAATGTAAATTGGTGCAGCTGTTATGACAACAGCATGGAGTTCCTAAAAAATTAAAAACAGAACTACCATGTGATCCAGTAATCCCGCTTCTGGGTATATATCCAAGGGAAATTAAATCACTGTCTCAAAGAGATATCTGCAACCCCATGTTTATCACAGTCATGTTTACAGTAGCCAATACAGAGAAACAACATAAGCATTCATGGATTGATGAATGGGTAAAGAATATGTGATAAACACACACACACATACACATATTATTTAGCCATGAGAAAGAAGGAAATCCTTACATTTGTGACAACATGGACAGACCTCAAGGACATTATGTTAAGTGAGATAAGGCAGACAGAGAAACACAAAAATTGTATGAATTCACTTATATGTAGAAGCTAAACAGGCTGAACTAATAGATACAGAAATTAGAATGATGGCTGTCAAGGGCTTCAAAGTATACATACTTCCAGTTATGAATTAAGTTCTAGGGATGTAATGTACATCATGGTGATTATAGTTAACTGCACTTTACTATATACTTGAAAGTTGCTAAGAGAATAGCTCTTAAGTATTATCACCACAATAAAGAAATGGTAGTTATGTGAGGTGGTAGAAGTGTTAGCTAAAGCTATGATCGTAATCATTTTGTAATACATAAATGTATCAGATCAACACACTGCACACCTTAAACTTACACAATGTTATACATCAATTATATCTCTATAAAGGTGGAGAAGAAATATACTACTTTAGAAATATCAGTAATATATTAGTACTTCTGAAAAGCACTAACTCTTGTACATATTTTCTCCTATTGAGACTGATATTCTGTGGTGAAATTTGCTTTGATTGCCATTTAGCAAATCATATTTGTAAAAGATCTTATTTGACTAATTTTTTAATCGAACATTATCAACTTAAATCTCTTGTTTTATTTAAAATGCTCTGGCTCCTCCTTACCTCCAACAGTCATTAAGTTTATTAGTAGACTAACCTTAGGTTACTTCTAGGTTATGCTGTGTACTCTATTGAAAATGCTAAATCACTCTCATGTTTGAGTACAGAATGGGACAAAAATAGGCTTACAATTGTGAGTATGTGGAACACAGAGTTATTCTTGCTTTATTATTTATTAATTATTGTGTTTTTTCAATTCAAACAACTGTTAACCTACTTTTGTACCACTCTATATTTGTGCACCATATATATTATATATAATAGCATATATTATATAATAGTATAATTACATATTATACCATTATATAATAGTATAATATGTATGGTTATTATGATAGCATATATTACATGTAATATATAATGACATATAACATATATTATATACAATACTGTATAATGTGAACATGGTATTGTATATACAATATATAGTATTGTTGTGTGTATATATGCATACAAAATATATGTTTGTGTGTATATATACACAATATGTATTGTATGTTGTATGCAATATTGCATACAATACAATATTATATGTTATATATGTATATTATATGCCATATATATTATGTACTACACATACACTAATATGTATAATATAAATTATTGTATTATCATATTGCATATAATATATGTAATTTAATATAATAATACAATAATAAAGTATATAATATATTTTTCTAGTCTATCCTGTTAGCAAGACAAGCAAAATTTTGAATTATTAAGGGCTGAATAACATATTTTCTTACTGTTGTGAAAAATATAATAAAACAAGATTCTAACTGGCTGAAACCTAAGAGATGTTGATTTAGTAAAGTGGTATATACATCTCTTTGGAGATGAACCCTTACCTTATACACTTTTTTCATTACTTGTAGAAGACTTTCAACATTGCAGTTCCTCTGGTCTGTTGGAGTCCTATAGTACAACTGAGCAATGACAGCTGATTTAAGCATCTGGACCAGTGTGTTGAGAGTAGATTCTTGCAAAGATGCCCAGTACTGCCCTGAAGGTTGTAAAATCAGCCATGATAAATATATACTCCCCCACAGGCCCCAAAGAAAACTCCCTCAGTTTCTACTGGGTTCTTCAATATAAGAAATAGATAATATTTTCCATTTCTGATAGAACACTCCATAAAATATGTTTTCTAAGGTTATCATCCTGGACACTTGTTACTCACAGATAACATTTTTTTCATGATTATCATTGGAATTAAAAGCTCAAATTCAAGATTCTGCAGAATGGTATTTATGCCTAATTACTTGATTGATTTCATGATTTTCAAACTGAAAATTCTATGGGTTATTTATAAAATCTGAAAACATACATAGGTGAACACACACACATATACATACATACACACACCATGTCATCAAAGGTATATATTTTAATCTGTAAAAAATAATATCTATGTCTTCACACTTTATGAGCACCTGGTATTTATGGATATATTTTTAAATAATATCAGATAATAATATTTTAATATAACTGATGTTAGAACTCAGATATTGTACGTTTAAAGGACAATTCTCAGAAAACAAACCTATCAAATGTTAAAATATATTGCCCATCTAATGTAATTAAAGTAGTATGACCCAAATGTACAAATTCCATACATGGATCCAAATGCACATGAAACCTTAGTATATGACAAAGGTGGCATTGCATATTAGTGGGAATGAAACAGATCATTCAATAAATGTCTGTGTACAGATGGAAACTGATCCAGAAAAAAATTTAATCAAGATAAATTTCATATGGATCAAAGATTCAAACATAAAATTGAGATAATAAAAATTCTAGTAAGAGCATGGGAATGTTTTTTATGTTTGTTTCAGAGTGAGGGAGTCTTTTTGAAGTATGACCCAAACTCAGAAACTATAAAGGAAAATGTTAATATAGTAGGCTTCATAAAATGTTTAAAAATCATGCATGGCAAAAAATATCACAAAGTAAAAAGTTTTAATAATCTAAAAAAAATTTGTAACTCATGTTATTGGTAAAGAAAACATTTGTAGCATATTGTTAATAAAGGATTAGCTGTCTTAGTAGTTTAAAACCTCCTAAAGATAAAAGAAATACTAACAACAAATGGAAAAAAGGGCAAGAGGAGAGAACTGATAGTTCTCAGAATATGATATACAAATAGAACTGAGATACAAGAAAACCAGCACAACCTCATTCACAATGAGTAAATTAAAATTAAGAGATTCTTTTTTTCATACTGGAAAATACCAAAGTTTGATAACACTGTAGAAAAATGCATGGGCTAATGCTCTCATATTTGTTTATGGGGCATAAACATACATCTGTCAGGGCTGCCATGTTGCCCAAACTCCAGGGGTGCAATTTACTTAGACTACAGTGTAAATGGTGGCCACTTAATGTTGGGCAACATGGTGGCCCAGACTTCTGTGGAAGTCTGGCCAAATCTCTTAAAATTTAAAATGCACATAAAATTTGACTCAGTAATTTCGCTTTCTAGAATTTTCCCTGCCAAATTTCCCTGGCGTAAATTTATATATGTACAAAGAAATGCATGTTAGCATTATAATAGCAAAAGTTTAGAAACAACAATTCATAGTATATCCTCCCAATAGAATACTATTCAGCCATTAAATATTATAGAATAAGGCGGTTCCATAGGTCTAATAACAGAATGCTCTCCGTGATATACTGTTATACAGGAAAAAGCAAGTTGCTAAATAATATGAATGGTATGCTACCATTAAAAAGAAACAATACATTCTTTCAAAGGCTGCACAAGGAACTACATTCTGTAATGGCTTTCTGGGAAGGGAAGTGGGTGGCTGATACTTCACAGTATATATCATTGGTACCTTTTTAAGCTTTGGATCTTGAACATTAGCTTAAACTTGTACAAGGACATCTTATAGCAGTGAATAAAAAAATAAGAACATGAAGCTTAATATTTTTTTCATCACCTCTTTTTAAAATGTTTAAAGTTTTATTTAAAACAACATGAGCAAGAAGTTTTAAAACGGATTGTCTTAACTGGATTCTCTGGTTATTAAGCTCTGATGTCAAAGCCATGTCTAAGTCTAAGAATTAACATGCCTTGTATGATAACAGTAATGTTTGTAATAGTTTTAGGGTTATCTTTTCAGTAATTCACATATCCTGTACTCAAATATTTTTGCATTCTGAAATTTTCTATCCAAAATTTGCTACAACCTGTACTTCGGACAGTGATTCTCTATTGAGAGTATAGATAAAGTGACATGAAAGTAATCAGACTTACTCAGGATGTCTAAAGATCTGTCACTCATTTTACAAATGATCTGTGCAAATGGAACCACCGGAGTTTCTGAATTCCTAAAATCTTGCATCACAGGACATTGTGGGAGCAGAAGGAAAATTGATACTGCTTCTTGGTGTGGAGAAGCATGTGGAAGAGCTCTGAGTAGATTCTCCTTGAGACATGTCATTATCTGCAATTGAAACATGATCAGAGAAAAGCCCCGGGTAAGTTTTGGGATCTTGGATTTGATTCCACCACTTTCCAATTGGAGTGATTACTTTAATTTTCCTGAAACCTGTTGTTCAGCACTCCTTGCGTCCCAAATGTCCCTACAGTAGTGTGTGAGAGCCATCCTCCCTATTTTATATTGGGGTGCATGAGGAAATAAAAGCGAATCATGTGCATGTCATACTGAGTGACTCTCGAAGGTGGCTCAAGTTAGAAAGTGGCAGAGTAGGGATCCATACCCAGATCTATCTCACCTAAAATCTACATGGCAGAGAAAATGCCATATGTTCACCTCACCAATCACATTTCATCTTCCTCCTGGGTCCACAAAAGATGTGGTCTTTCAGCCTCTCCTGCAGGTAGGTGGGTCCTTGTGACTGAGTTCTAGCTGACACAATGTGAGTAAAGGTGATATATGACACTTTCAGGCACAGCGCCCCTACATCCTCTCATATGACCTTTTATATACTCTCTTTCCTAATCTGCCAACCAAACACAAAAGATCTACTGAAGGATTTAGTGGTTCCAGAGCCTAGAACTCTAGAAAGAAGGAGCCCAAGTTACCCCTACAGAGATGGGAAGGGTAGCAGAATATGCCATCCCAAAATATACCCCCCTGGGATGAGGATCATTTTGAGCTGAAAGCAAGTCAAAACAAAACAAAACAAAACAAAACAAAACAGACAGCAAGCTTCTGGCTTCCCTCTGTCTACCTGAAAACAGAATAGAGATTCCTTTTGTGAAGATGGTACCTGCTCCCAACTTCCTGTACCAGGAAGGAAAGAACAACCATATCAGCAGAGATGATCTGGATGATCTGTCATTGAGAAAGAGTCTACACAAACAAACCTCACTAACCTTTTTCTACCATTAGTGTCCCCGTATATTTGCCTTTCCACAATTTGGTGCCTCCAGAAGCTCAAAGTCCTTTTCCTTTGTCTTGTCACTTCTCCACAAAATTATTGTACTAAGAATCATATAAGCCAAAGTTCTAACTGTGCCTTTAAATTTGTTATCATTAAGTATATATGAAGGATGCACCCATGAACAAACTTCTGTTTGTTTTTCACCTATTAATCTGTCTTTTCTCAGTCTAATTTGTAGGGCCCCGGCCAATGAAACTAAGTTTTCAAATTGTTTCACTAAGAACCCTTTCTCATGGAGCATTCTGTGTAAATAATGTTCTTTGGAACACACACTGGGAATATAGCACTGCAAGTTATCCCCCTTATCACCTAAAAAATTTGGTTTTAAAATACACTTGATAAAATCTATTCTTCATCTTGAAAATAAAAAGGTAGTGTCCACTACACATGAAGGAACACCCTCCTCTTTCCCCTTCAGATGTAGGGACCCATGATGATATAAAGATAACTTTAAACTGAAGACATTTGAGATACAGCTGATGCAGAAAGAAGCCTTCAGAGGTTCTCTTATCTGACTAAAAGCTTCCAAGTGTAAAGCAGCCATAAACCCCAAGCTTCAGCTGCACTTGGATGAGAAATTGCACAAACAAACACTATCACAAGCTGTCATATCTTCCATTTGTCCCCCCAGAAGCCCATTTGTCTCCCCCCAAACTCCACTTATTTTCTTTCTCTCCCCTCCCTTTCCCTATTAAATTGGTATATAAGCCCTCATCACTAGCTATTCGTGGAAACTTTTCATCCAAACACTTACGCATGCATGGGAATAAACCTTGTTTTCTGTGTTCCTGTTAATCTGTCTATTGTCAGTTCTCAAGCCCCCAAACACACTGAAGCTAAATTGGTAGAGGGAAGGTTTTCTTTCCAACACCACCCACAATCACAAAGTATTACATTGGAATAGACCTTAAAGATGAACTCAACTTATATAGGTAAATAAAGTGTGACCCAAAGATTATAAAGGACAAAGGATTTTGTTATCCTGTTTCCCAAACTAGTGTTCTTTTCATGTTATGCTAGAAGTTATTTACCTCTCAAACACTAGTTTTCTCATCTTGAAAATAAAAATATTGTCATTTATACATTTAAGTGCTCAAAAATAAGAGCCAGCCCTAATGATGGGGGGTTCAAGAGTTGGGAAATTTCAGTTTTTGGTAATAGTAAGCTTAGTAACTAATGCAAGTAAAAAGCTATTGATTCGGGAACTGAGGGTATGACTGTTGGGAACAAGGAAATTAAGAACTAAATTTTAACCTTAATAGACAAGAACCACATTGTAGCTGAAAAGAAATGATAAAAGAGACAGAGTACAGTTAAAGCAAACATCCCGTGTCTAGCAGACGCTCTCCCTGGGTAGGCTAGATAAGCAGTGCTTTGTAGTTTTTAATGAGAAAATAGAAAACTAGCTAGCTAGAGCCAGGAGATTACTAGGTTAATGAACAAAAAGCCTGCCTTCCCGCCTTATGAAAGAATGCTTGGTTTGAAATTCCCGCGCGCGGTCTTTGTAAGCGAATTACTAACTGCCACGTCTGCTTCTGTATAACGCTTGCTTGCCTGCCCATATATAAGAACGTAGTTGTAAGCATTTGGCGCGTCTCTCGTTTGCAGCTCCTTGCGGGCACTGTGTCGCTGGACACTTTGAGAGTTCGCCCCTGCGCAGGTTAAACTTGGCCAATAAAGTAACATCTTTGATACCCTGAAAGTCTCCGATATTCGTTCTCGAGTTTGCTGGATGCTACAATGACCCACTCTGACTCTGGGAAACCACAAGCAGTTCCACCTGTGTGCCCCAGGAAGCCTGCAAATAATGAAGATGGTATCTGAGCCACTGCGTTCCAGGGAGAGATGCTCACTGCCTAGGTAGACAGATAAAGAACTACCTATCAACAAATGAAAGAATACTGCAGCTTTTTTTCTGATTAAATTTTTCCCTGAATGCCAAACCCCTTACCTATACCTTTCTTCTCCTTATAAAAAAGGTTGGTTTGAAATGGAATTTAAAATGGTCTGTTAGGGTACATAACCCGCCATCTTCTCAGATCTCTGGCCATCTGAATAAAGCACCCACAGAGATTCAATCCCTGTCTCTGCTTATTGGTCTGGTAGCAACAGGCAGCCATGAAAGCCAGCTTTTCTGGTTTCCCACTAATGCAGTGTCTGAAACACAGCAACCACAAAATGAACACTAGCCCCTGCCTATCAGGTCCCCTGACTCAGTTCCCAACAAAATTAAACTACAATCATATTGGTTTCTATAAGGAAATCCTGTTACTCTATTTCTCAAGTAAATATGGACTATTACCATTGATGAAATCCATTTCTTTTTTGTTAACTTCTGGAAGGTATCACTTGCCATTTGTAAGTCCACATCAATGGAATTTATTTCTCCAGATTCTCTTTGGATAAAAGAAATGCAAAACACCACATAAATAAATGGAAAGGAACATTTCTATACTTCATATGTCATTATTTAGTTTTATTACATGTCAGATATAAACTTTTTTCTTCAAGTTTGCCTTTTAAAATAACCAATTTACTTGGCACAAAAAAACACATGAAATTTATGTTCTGCTAAAAGAGAGTAACAATGTATTACCTCCAGAATAGCTGCAATAACATCAAATTTTTATATGCTGGGTCCAAGAACTGAAAGCAATTACCCCCACTCTCATCTTGCAAAGAACTGAAACTACTTACTCCCCGACTCCAATACCCCCACACATTCCTTACCAGTTACATTTACATTACTGTGGGATTCCACTGTTTCATTAGCATGACTTTACTATTCCAAGAGACACTTCCCCAAGCAAATGGTTTGATTGCTCATTATGGGAACTTCCTGAAAAGACCCATTAACTCTTCAATGAAAAGCATCCACAGTTTATGCCAATTCTTTGATTCTCTTGCTTCACAAATCATATCCTTGCTGTTTCCATTCATCTAGGACCCTAGTATCTTTTCCCAATCATAATCAAGCCCTCCCCTTCCCATACTGAAAAACTTGCCTTAAGCCCTTGCCAATTCTTTTTTTAAAAGATTTTATTTACTGATTTTGAGGAGAAACAGGGAGGGAAATATCAGTGTGTGGTTGCCTCTCACGTACCCCTACTGGGGACCTGGCCCACAACCCAGGCATGTGCTCTGACTGGGAATCAAATTGGCAATTCTTTGGTTCACAGGCCAGCACTCAATCCACTGAACCACACCAGACAGGGCCCAAACTGCCAATACTCAATAAATTCCAACCTGGCCTCCCCTCTCAGAAACACTATTAAAGCTTTGTATAGATGTGGTGCTGTTCTTCCCTGGGTCATGTTGGTGATATCTGAGAAACCTGCATTCTGCCAAACAATTTGTCATTATAATGTTCTCTCAAAAAATACTTTATACTTTCTGGATTAGCCAACAACAGTAACCTCAGGGCTAAAATGTTATGCAAGTACTAAATCAAAGAATATATTGTTAAATATACTCTACTTTTCAGCCTTTGACATTGTAAGACTGCACCTTGAGGTTCATCACTCCTGTGAGGATACATGTCTACTTTAAAAGATGATATTCTCAGTGTAGAAAGAGACTAGAGCAGAAAAGAAAGAAGGTACTCTGTATGGTAGAGCCCTTAATCCCATCCTGGAAAGATGGCAAAAAGAGGACAGCAAATGGGAGAAATGGCAGAAATTAGGAAGCAGTGTCCTAATTTCTCTTCTCCTGCCTTTGTCCCGGATATGCAGATGTGGACAGGGATGCTTTTTAGAGCTCTAGAAAGATACTTTCCCATGAGCTAACAGTGGGAGGCCATGACAGTGAACTTCCCTGGGCTTCTCTGGCTCCCAGATAAAGTTGTTGGAGTGGCTGAGAATGCATCTGGCTTAGGAACAAATGGGACAATAATACAAAACAACATTGAGTGTAAACTGTAATTTAAAAAATTAAAAAAAAAATACAGTAACTGTGGGGTATGTAGGGTCAAGGAATAGCTGCAACAGGGGTTAAGCCAGCACCACCTAGTGGCCAGGAGGGGTTGGTTACAAGATGTGTGTCATTTGAACCAATGAGCCAACTTGAGGCCAGCTCGACAAGGGGAGGGATAGGACCTGACTTGGGGAGGACTGAAATGAGTTATATGGGCTGCAGATTGACCAGCAGGGGACCAGCCTCCAGAGAAGGCAGAGGGCAGCCTAAGGGCCCCTTCATGCTGCTATCTCTTCATCTTCTCCTTTCTATACTGTTAAATTAATTAAGCAAGGAAACTGTTAGACTGTGGAGGCTCTAATGCCATGGAGGCCTACATAAACAGACTAAAACCTAAGCTTGTAAATGCTTTAAAGTTATGAAATCAAAACCTAAAGACAACAGTCACAAATAGCTAACTGTTAAAATGCTTATGCTACAAAGCTTTTCTTATGCTTAAAGCTATAGCCAATCAAATAATTTCCTTTCTTTGCTTCTGCACTATCACTACACCAATCTCTCCCCTGGCTCCTATCAGCAGAATGCACCTAACCACTTCCAGTTTGGCACTATCCCATTTGAATCAACATTTGCTCAAATAAACTCTTAAAATGTTTAACATGCTTCAGTTTATCTTTTAATGGTTCTTAGTCACAGTACTGATGAGTATAGAAGGAGGGGAAGAAATATAAGACCATATGTTGAACATTATGCAAAGGAATTGTTTAAACTACTGGGTTATACCAACTCTTAAACCAAACAGATTTTCTTCTGTAATAGTAAGACTAAAGATAAATAGGGAACTGCAAAGTACACCCTTGGACTCTAAGTACTAGGGCAATGAAATGATACCCATAGAAACAAAGATCCAGGAAAAAACCACCATTCCTCCAAGTCAGAGAACAAAGGAGGGCAGGATAGAGGAAGTAAACAATGTGAATTAGGTATTACAACTTAATAGTGGTCTGATATATAATTATCCTACAATATGGAAGAATTCTGTAATAACCCGTGGAGTTTTGTGTTGGGCTTTTTGTTTGCAGACAGCAAAATTCACAAATTGAACTGGCTGACTTCAAAGATTTCATTTAAAATATTCCCCAGTGCTTTAAATGAAGGTAAATCTCATGTAAATATTACCTTTTCTTTAAAAAACTTGCAGTCAGACAAGCAGGAGATGAAAATATCATTCTAATTTCACTGCAAAAGTAATAACATAAAGATTAAGTCATAACATACTGTAAAGCTTGCCTCCTCTCATGTCTGAAGATAACTGATGATGTGCAACCATTAATAATGAAAATAACAATTCTGCTAAGAGTCCTCCAAATGCTGGTTATACTTTGTGCATGTGACGGCTGAGTCTCACCAACAGCCTTCCTAGCTGATTTGGTCAAGTCACCTAGACGTAAACAAAATCCATCCTTCTGAAAACAGAAATTATGGAGCTCCAGAGAATAAACTATGAAGATATGTTTTTAAAAGTTCACTCTAGGGAAGATTTTGAGAGTCAGAAAGCATTTCTAATTCTCTCCTACATCTCCCTCACCTATCAAGGTGCCTGGAATATTGTATGTCCTCAATACAGGATGGGGTAAAAGTAGGTTTACCATTGTGAGTATGCAAAACACATAGTTTATTCTTGTATTATTATTTATTAATTATTATACTATCTTCCATACGAACAACTGTAAACTCACTGTTGCCCCACCCTGTATACCTCTGTTAAGTGAACAATGAATCAATGCGTAAGTCAATGACTTTTTCAAACTAAGAGGTGGCTGAAGGGAATCATGGGAAATGCAAATGCCTTCACAACAAAGCCAAGCCCTCTCTCTTATGTCTAAGGTAAAATGACCATGGCTTCAGAATTAAATAAGAGTGGTTTATAATGATCTGACAGAGCCACCTCTTAGCCACTTCATGTTCAGTACTTCCAATTGTCACTGCCATCCATTGTTCCACCTGGGACTGGTTAATTCGGCTTATTTCTGGCAAGGTTTTCCTGGAAACATTTGTGGAACTAGTATCCTTCAAGGAAGAAAAAAAAAGAACAATCAGGAACACACTCACATGTGCAGAGTAACAGATAACCCAGTAAAGCTGGTAGATAGGACCAGTGCTCTTAGACAGTGGGGTTGGTGAGAGGAGATATGGCATCAGACTGGTCTGGTTGTTTTAGTTCCTAGCTTTGGCCACTTTGCTTGGTCTGAACCTTAATTTATCATTTAAAAAAAATGGGATAACACAAATGTATTAAAAACAGGAACTCAGATAATCTGTAGGCCAATATTTATTGCAGCATTATTTACAATAGTCATGTTCATTAACAGATGAATATTGTATATATACATACAATGGAATATTATTCAGCCATAAAAAGAAGGGAATTCTGATACCTGCTACAACATGAACTTTGAAAATATGCTAAGTGAAATAAGCCAGACACAAAAGGACAAATATTGTACGATTTCACTTATATTAGTAGAAACATTTATATGTACACAAAAAGTAGATTACAAATTACCTTGGGATGAGGGTGCTAGGTAATGTGTTACACATTTAATGTGTTTTCTGTTTGTGGTGAGGAAAAGTTTTGGAGACGGACAGTGGTGATGGTTGCATCCAACAACATTGTGAATGCAATTAATACCACTAAACTGTTCACTTAACATTGGTTAAAATAGCAAAGTTTGTTACACGTATAGTATAGATATAGATATGTAGATATATATTTTACCACAATAAAAAAGTGAGATTACAATACCCAATACTTACCTCCCTGGGAACTTATTAAGATCAAATGATATTAGATATACAAAGCTTTATATTATAGTAGGTACTCAGTAAATACTAGTTTCTTTCTCCTCTTTAACCAGCCACAGATTTTTACTTTTATGTCAGTAGTTTTCAAACTTCAGTGTACAACAAAATCATCTGGTGATCTTGTTAAAGCATAGATTGCTGGACCCATCCCCACAGTTTCTGATTCAATATAGCAGGGGTGGAGCTCAAAATTATATATCTGGTG